ATTTTTCAATATTTTCTAATTGTCATTTTTTATTATTTTATGAAAAAACATTTTTAAATTATAGTTTACATTCAATGTTATTTTGTATTAGTCAGTATAGTGTCCAGACAATCATATAGTTTACAAAGTATTCCCCAACACCTCCAGCACCCAACTGGCACCATACATAGCTACCACAATACTGTTGACTATATATCCTACGCTGCACCCCTCATCATCATGACTATTTTGTAACCACCAACCTGTACTTCTCAATCCCTTTATCTTTTTCACCCAGTCCCCCAATCCCACTCCCCTCTGACAACCCTCAGTCTTTTCTCTGTATCTATGAATCTGTTTCCACTTTGTTTATTTATACTGTTCTTTAGATTCCACATAGAAGTGAAATCATGTGGTATTTGTCTTTCTCTGACTGACATATTTCACTTAGCATAATACCCTCTAGGTCCATCCATGCTGCTGCTGCAAATGGTAAGATTTTGTTCTTTTTTATGGCTGAGTAATATTCCTCTGTGTGTGTGTGTGTGTGTGTGCGTGCACACGCATAGCACCACTTTTTTAATCAACTCGTCTATTGATGGGCACTTGGGCTGCTTCCATATCTTTGCTGCTGTAAATAATGCTGCAATTAACATAGGGGTGCATATATTCTTTTTAATTAATGTGTTGTTTCTTTGGATATACACTGAGAAATGGAATTGTTGGGTAATAAGTCAGTTCCATTTTTAATTTTTTGAGAAATCTAGGTGTTTATTCCTGTATTTGCAAGATATCAAACTGATATGCACCCTTATATTCCTCTCAATATTGAATACATGGGGAAAAGAAGTATGACATAAACTACTTGGGAAAGAAATAGTATTCAAGCCTTCCCTTCTCCCTGTTCATGTGTGGACACATAGCTCACTTCAGAGGAGCAAACTGGTGATAAAAATTTCAGAAAGACTAAGCAGTCACATGACAAGCTAGTACTCTGAATATTAAAGATATCTTCCCCCATCTTTCATGGTCAGTTTTTTTGATACTTCTGATGATATATAGAAATGTTCCAAAAAGAGGTGGAAAAACTTACTTTAAAGGTCTGCCTCAGTACTCATCTCATTATGTTCTTAATCATAGGTCTTCTTCAGCATTACTCAAACCCAGCCAATTTGCTTTGGTGCTAGGAGTCTTTGGGTAACAGAGTTGGGTCTTAAGTTCCACCAAAAAAATGCTTTTGTCATTTTAGTACAGTGGTTCCCAGCCTTCACTGCACCACTGCACAGAACCACCCACGAAGCTTCATAAACATGCAGTTTTCTGGGACTTGCCTTCATAGATTGTAATTCACTGGGTCTATAGGCTTAGGAATCTGATTTTATAGCACACTTCTAAGGAGATTCTGATACTGGGGGATCTAGGGCACTCTTTGCAAAAACAGATCTCAATTTTTTCAAACAGTAAATTGAAAAATATATTTGCGTATAATGATTCACGTGCATATAGCTAAGAATCTTATATCTATTTATATATGACTTATAAATATCTACTATTATTTTAAGTCCTTTTATCTGTACATGAGGAATTAGTTAGCAGATGTTCTTAATAAACCAATAATTTTTAACCATGGTGATATGACACGATGGTATGTTACAATCAGGTTTTTGGTGTATATAAAACATCAGTTGTTAATGGCATTTAAAGTAAGTTAGTTACTTTTAAAAATAAGTTAGAGTGATTCGGGGTTATGCATACAATAATGGCATTCCCCTTTATTTGGATTTTGATATGCTCTACCCAATGGAAGAGGAAAGAGCTGAACCAGAGCTGGAGTGATCTCAGAATGCCCTAATGTCGCTGCTCTTACTACTGTACCATTAGTAGCCGTGCAATGATGAATTGTAACAATTTATTTCCATAGAAATGTAATTTTTTTGTTTCATAAAACTCTGTGTCAAGTATAAACGTGCATCCTGTACATGAATGTCCCTGGTTATGTTCACTTTCACTAATGTGGAGAAACGTAAGGAAGGTAGCACAGAAGTTGCAGGCATTTGGAAACTGCTGAGGTTCACTGCTTTACAAAGCAGTACCCAAGACAAAATCACAAGCCGTGGCTCTAAAATTCACAGAGAAGGTGTCAGTACTCTGATAGCTGAAATAGAGCACATGGTAATCAAACCTGGATGGCATCATCTACTTATTCTTTCAGCAAAAGGAAGGAAAACATAAAAACAATATTTGCCTTACGGTCTCCTTAAGTAATGAATAAGACAACAGATTTTCTTTTTCCCACTTTCAGCCTAATAGTCTTGCTTTGTTTCGTTTCGTCTCCAACCAACTAATTTGGAAACAAAATACTCTTGCCTCACCAAATTTACACCTTTAACTAAACCACAGGCAAATTTCACAAAAACTGAAGTAGGGAAGGCTGGGTTTTCTCACGGATCCAACATCCCCTGGATCCAGTGCCCGCCTCACCATGGTTGCCACCGCACCCTTGGAGTAGTCCCCGTATTTGTGCTCAGAGATCAAAATTGCTTTTCTGACCAGCTTTAAATTATGAGTAATATTTTTTCTATTACACATGAAATGTCTCTGAGTTCTCTTTCTTGCATTTCTGTTATACTTCTCAGTCTGTCGGAGAGCTTACATAGAACTCCTCCTGGGTGCTCTCCCAGCCCTTCCCCAATCCTACTCCTCACAAGACAAATGGAGAAGTGAAAAAAAATAAAATAAACCAGCACCAGCAAATCTTAATGATCTCTGAAAGCCCAGACAAAGAATATTTCAGGAAAAAACAAAAAGAAACATTAAATGTTTTAAGGTCATTAACGAGATTATAAATTTATGAGGAATGTGGGAGGGAAAAAAAGTCTCTTCATTATTTTCTATATTCATAGACTAATTCTTCATTGCCCTAGTTGAGCTTTAACTTAATTATAAAACAAAATCCATAGCCACAGCCAGGCCTAGAGGTAGAGCCTGTACAACTAATCAACTTTAATTCCCTGGGTTCAGTTTAATTACCAAACAACATTTGGTGCAGCTGCTAAACACTGACTAGGTGACCAACCACATGGTAACAATACTGGAGTAGTATTTACAGGTCTCCAGCATTTGCTCTGATACTTACCAGCTCCATTATGGTTCAACTATATATAAATGTGAACAACCTCTAGGATATACCACAATAGATAATTTTCTTGATTTTTCACATCCCTGTAGTTGAGCCAGTTAACATATTGAGCTGCGCTACAACTAATTAATGTCAGGAAGGAAAACTTAATGATGAAAGAGATGTCCTGATAGAGGACAATAATGACAAATTGAATATCCACAGCGTACATCTTACCATTTTTAATTTGTTCTGTCTGTGAGACAGACAAAGCGAACCCAGCTTGCGTACACTGTGAGTTACCCACTCGCCTTTCAGGTCATCACACACACTCCTTTTCCATATCACCAGGCATAGCTAACTCATCTTTCTGCTTGTTCTTTCACGTTCCACAAGACAATTGAGGAGGTGAATATTTGTGTTACAAAATATTTTACCTGACAAAATTAGAATTAGTCACTGATATTTTTAAAATAGCCAGTTCCTCTAGTATATTTAATTTGCACAAATATTCAGGAAGATCACCACAAGTACGCGAGATCTGATTTTTTTCATCTGATAATATTTGGGCACAAGTTCCATGCGCAATTCGTTTTCCATCTCAGCATTAAAAAAAAAATTAGCTCACCCAAATACACCAAGTACGTGGGATCCCAGTTCCTCCCTAGCTCTACAGGAGGGTACAAAAACTTATTTGAATTGAGGGGAAAAAATTGAGAAGTGGTATCAGTAAGGGAGTTGCCAATGATGCTAAAATAAATATGACCCTTAATTGTTTTTACAGAAACTCAGAAGGAAACAGAGAGGGTGCCACTGAATCCAGATGAGGACTTGAAGTGGGTGGGGAAGGGCGACAGGACGCGTTTCTTTTGCTCTCTTTTTCCTGTATGTCAGTCTCCTTCTCTTCTTAGTGTTTAGGGCAGATCTGGGTAAAAGCTAACAAGAGGATGTATCACAGCTAATTAAATCTACAGAGGAAAAAACAATACATCACATTCACTGTAAACTATCGGAGTGATGATCCCTCCTTCAGCTTCCAACCTCAGGTGCTGCTTTGGATTTTTCCTGGTGCTGTCCTGCGTGACTACCTTGGACTCTGGACAAAGATGACACTGCACGTTTCAAAGGTGAAAGGCTAATTTCTCAGCACTGAGAGCGTCTGTCATTCTCTTACCCCAGAGAGTAGCTTTCCCTACTGAGCAGTGACTGCCTCACAGGAGGAAGCAGTTCTGCACGCCGGAGGAAAATGGGATCGAAGGAATTATGATGGTTACCAGATGTCCCAGAGCCCCTGAGAGGGCGCCACAATGCTTCTGCAGATGCTGCAAACAGCATAAACTGTCAGACCAGGGGTCCCTGGGGCTTGGTGCTCCAGCTGCTCTGTTGTGCAGAGTCATAGGATTCAAGAGTGAGAAGGAGCCACAAAGATGATCTTAGCCAAGGGTTTTAAACTATGTCTGGGGAAGTTCTCTGTTTCTTAAGCATGACTCAAAGATTGCTGAAGAGTAAGGGGTTCTCCCTAAAACAGTAGCAGCACTCTTGGAAAAAGTGTAAAAGTCTTATGTCAGGGCTAACAAGACAGGATATTTTATCAAACAAAACTCAGTTATAAAAGTCTAAGGTAATTCCTGTGGTTCAGGAAAAGAACCTTGGAAAATCACCATCCCAGTGACTCTATGTCATTCCTAGAGGGGAGGCCCCTAGAGCTCAGAAGGTTGATTCAGGAACTGTAGGGTGAGATAGGTCGGGTGGGGGGGGAATGACTAGGGAAAGAAGGAAGCAGCAGCTATTTCTGTGTAAATGGAGCCAATTATGATGAGAAGATGAAAGAGATTTTAACACAGGGTAAAGCACAGGGTTAAGCAGACATTCACAAAAGCAGGGTAGATAATGTCTGTCTCACCGTCACTGTTGATGCAGACGACCTCTTGAACTTGAGTGCCCGGCCCACACTCCTTTCCATTGTCTGGTTCGCAGTCTCCAAGCCTCACCGCTTTCCACTCATAGCAGGAAGGCTCCTCGCAGGGAATGGCTTCCAGTAAGTGAGGGCAGTTCCCAGTGGCCCCAGAGCCTCCAGTGGGCTCATTGGTAATGCGTCGCTTCCTCAGTTTGAAACCTGATTTATTGGGGAAGGAAAACATTTATTGTTACCATCGAGGTTGTGCATTGTAGACCGCCAAATAAAACCCCGAGCGAAAGGTGGATGAGGTCAGTAGGTAGAAGTCATATCTGCTTTAATCACTGGTACATCCCCAAACTCTAGCCTAATGTGAGTTCATTAATATTTTATTAAATGCATAAATGAATGAATAAACAGAATGGCCAAAGAGGAACTTTTGGTGTTAGCTTACTATAGTAAAAACAAGGCAAGACATGCTGTGCACCTCCCATCACACCCTCAGGGCTGGAGGTAGAGGGAGGGGGGTGAAGAGAGAGAGAGATCTATATTGATTTTGCTTGACTTGGAAAGTCCGTAGTTATAAAATATTCAAATAAACAATGAAATCTCAAGCTATTCAGAAATATTCATGACCAGGCAAAAGTGCTATTACTTTTAATTCTTCAACACTATCACACGATTCAATCTGAAAAGGAACCTCTGATTTGTTGGACAGTCCCAGAGAAACCATCTCTTTGAGACTTAGCTGATTTTAGACTCCCTGGAAATTTGAATTAGGGATATAAACCATCTTGGCTCTAATGAGGAGTATTCGAAGTCCTGCTCTGTGCCTTAATAGCACCTAAGTGCTGCCCTTCCTGACAATGTGTAACAAAATTAAGTCTGTTCATTGCTATGTGAACATATGAGAATCACTAGGACACTGTCCTTCGAAAGAATATGGGAAAATTATTTCAATTACTATATCATGTTAAAATTACCCCACCAGGCCTAACACGTAACAAACCACTGCATTTATTCTACTCCTCTTAGGTATATCATTTGCATCATAAAGACAATAGCGTTTTTTGTTTTTCTCTTCAAAGTAATGAGTTCTGTTTATTGGGCACTAGTGATGGGTCAGGCACTGAATTAAGAGCTTTATGTTTATTATCTCATTGAAACTTTAGAGAAAACTCGGGAGGCAGATATTATTATATCCCTCTTGCAGATAAAGGGACAAAGATTTAGCTGAGCTAATTAACTTATCTAAACACTATAAGACTGAGTAGGTTTTCCAATCCAGGTCAGTCTGATACCACAGCTTATTGCAACCACTGTGCTAAATTGCCTTAGACATTCTCCATCTGTTGTCTAAATTAACAAGTATCTTGCCTACTTTCGTCAGTTTTGTTTTTTTTAAAATATTTTATTGATTTCAGAGAGAGGGAGGGAGAAGGAGAGAGAGAAACATCAATGATGAGAAAGTCATTGATCGGCTGTCTCCTGCACGCCCCCGACTGGGGATCGAGCCCGCAACTCGGGCATGTGCCCTGACCGGGAATCAAACCATGATCTCCCGGATCCTAGGTCGATGCTCAACCGCTGAGCCATGCCGGCTGGGCTTACTTTCTTCAGTTTTAATATTCTGGTACCATCGCCAGAGTAGGTTTATTCATCTTTTGCAAGCAATACTCTTTAGCCATACTGGAAAGTATCACAAATGAATAATTACAAATACAGAGTAGCATTTTTAAATAATTCATGGTTTGACTCAACTGATGGGAGGTTCAAACATGTCATGTTAATATTACACACCTTTTTTGCCTTGCTGGTCGTTACAGTTTTCATAAGTACAGGGTCCCCAAGCTGACCAAGGTGAAACCTCGCATTCAATTGGGCAGGGGATGTGGCACAGCTGTGTGGTATTCGGAACAGAGCCAGTGCATAATTTCAAATCCACTGGTTTGGAGGCTGTTTGGAGAGAAACAGAGAGAGATTCCTTAAGAATTAAACAAATTGTTATGGCCAACAGTTCTGCATAGAAGAAAAACGCTTAAAGAAGTGCCACCAAGACATTATTCCAATGCTTCTCAGTTACATCCTGAAAATAAAAGTAGACGGAGTGGGGAAGTAGCAGCAGGATGGATGGTGTAGTGGACGGGAACTGGGTTAGAAGTCCTGAAGATTGATCACCAGCTTTACCACTATTTAGTCATGCAATTGATGATGTGGAGTCTAACTTTCCTAGGCAGTAACATAATCCTTAAGGTCAATTTTATCTAAAATTCTGTAGTTAGAGTCTAAGAAAGTGGTATTTACTTTAGAGAACTGAACACAACTGGAGGGAGGCTACAGCTTTACTATACATGGAAAAGCATATATTGTGGCTTCTGGTGGAGCGGTCTCCCTTTCCTTCTGGTCCCAGAGACGTAACTGGTGGATATAAGGAAGAAAGAGCTCATGACACCAAATGGGGTATCTCTCTCTTGACCTCAGCTACAAAACTTACCAGATTCTTTCCAGAACTTTTACTGAAAACATCATCTGCACATGGTGATGTAAATCTCAGAATTGCTAAGGAGACTAATTTATAATTGTCCATGTGTGTTCGTAAGTTGCCCAATAAACAATGGATAAGTACTGCTTGCCCCTGCCTCTCTTCTACGCTGATGTGTGCAGTTGGCTGTTATGTCTAGCACATGGCCTTGACAGTTAACACAAATGACTAAGTGAGAAAGACATCTGGAGCTATATATCCAACACAAAAGGGTCAAGTTCAGCTGTCTATTGTGTGCTATATAGCTATAGTTACTTCTGTTGTAAAAATTTAAGAAGTAAATGTCTTGGACACACTTCCTTTAATAAAAGCTAGTTCCTGTTTCCATCTGATCATTTGTAATGCCCATTCCTGTAGCACAAAGGACTGAAATAAAAGACGTCTTACATAATTCTCCTCTTTATGTAAAGAGCTATCCAATTCTGATTGCATGGGATTGCATCTAGAAGCTCACAGAGACATTGAAATAGTTTAAGCTATAACGTCCTAAATAAAAGTGCTAAATACATCTGCTTGTAGTTTAAACTTTAAGGCAAACTGTGATACTAGTGCATCATTCAGCTTCCTGCACACACACACAGAGTTCTGAAAAGTGTTCTACAGATATTATTTTTCCTTTTTTCTCCTAGAAGTGCTTAACTTATCTCCCTCCTCTCCTACCCTGTCCCCACACACACATTGCAGTGAAAATCAATGACTTGGCACCCCTGATTTGCTTAGGATGGAGAACCAGGAGCATTCTTAAGTTTATCAGAATTATTGCTAATGTGCATCATCATAACATCAACCAAAGCCAAAAATGATTAATTTTATTGCTTTCCAACAGCGAAAGTACTTGGCATGCTAATGACAGAAAATACAGAAATACATGCCTCACTTCTCTGACTACAAAACACAGTTTGACACCAATAATACACATTTCACATAAAATAAGTGGTTTTTAATATCCTACAGACATAAGAGTCTTGTGATGGCTAATTTTTTGTGTTAACTTGACTGGGCTAAGGGATGCCCGATAGCTGGTAAAACATTGTGTCTGGGGGCATCTATGAGGGAAGAGATTATAGCATTAGAATTTGCAGACTAAGTAGAAAAGATCACTGTCATCAATGGGGCCTGGTATGGTCCTATCCATTAAAAGCCCAGGAGAACAAAAGGTGCAGGACCAGTGAATTATCTGTCTCTTCTGGAGCTGGGGTACCCATCTTCTCCTGCCCTTGGACATCAGAGTTCCTGGTTCTAGGAAACTGGGAATTACAACAGTGGCCCTTGTCCCATAATCATGTGAGCCAATTCCTATAATAAAGCTCTGCCTATTTATCTATATATCCTATTGGTTCTGTTTCTCTGGAGAACCTTGACTAGTAAGTCTACAGTGTGTAGAAAACTCCTATACCGGCAAATTAACATAAATAATTCCTTCACTTGTGGAATCCTTTAGGTTATCACAGCCATTTTCAACCTTTTTCATCTCACTGCACACACAAACTAATTACTAAAATTCTGCAGCACACCAAAAAATACATTTTTTGCCGATCTGATTTATTCACACATGGCTATTGTTGTGTTGGCTGTTGTCATTTTTTAATTTGACAATCTAAGGGAAAAGAGGTCAGTGGCCCTACTAAATAGTCAGGTATTGCATATTTTAAAAATTCTTGCAGCGCACCAGTGTGTGTCTTGGGTTAAAACTCGCTGGATTATCATTTAAATTAGAATTGTGTGTATAATGACCTGAAATGACTCCTTTTTTGTTTTAATTGACTAAAAGTAATTTTAAACATTATATTGTAGAGGGGAGTCTACTGTGGATGCAAATTGTGAAGACTGCTAGAGCTTGAAGAAATTTATTTTCTATATAAGGCTGAAAACTTTAGGGGGGAAACGAAGTTTTTATCAAGGAAACAGGTGTTTCTAATTCCTGGCTATTTTCATTATGAGCATAATGTTAGCTTTCCGTGTATTTAGGATGAATCAATAGAATAATCAGTCACAGAAATCTTCTTGAGCTATTAAGAGAGAAATGTGTTGAATAAAGGCTTGAGGAAGTATTGCTTAAAGCAAAATACCCTTGGGATCTTCTCAGCTGCTAAGCTAACCAAGTCAACACTGAGATAACATACTTCTTGAAAAATAACCTCAGTTTTATAGGTGTCTTTATAGAGTATATATGAAGTTATTTCATCAATTAAAGAAACACAGGGAGAGAGTACATATTTGTGTATGATTCGTTCCTTTGGTGATTTTCATTATAGGTTTTTCTTGAAAATAGGGTACATATTGATTAATGTAAATCACAGATACTAGCTGAGCTCCTCAAAACCTATAAGTCAATTACATTTTTTCAATTGCCTAAGGGTTATTTGGAATAAGTGTGATTATGTGAATGAGGTAAAGGACAGACCTTGGAAACCTTACTGTGTTCCAGTTTAATTCGTGGGATAAAATTCCCATAGTTCTATGTTACATAACATAGTGTTTACTGCTGATCACATATTCTCAAAAAATGAGATCTGAATTTTCTAGAATGGCCTACTCATTATTCTTGTAAAATTGTACTAAAGATATTGTTTATCCAGAAATATGTTAGATTTTTAAAAGCCTTATTGTTGATCTCTTAAAAATAAAGGAGAAATTTTATTGTTCTCATATGACTTAAAGGGTATTCAATTATATTTACTATGCATGCTTCATGAGATTACAAAAGAATGTGTGAACTTTTCTGCAATTGACAAAACAAACAAAAAAATGAGACGTGCATTTTTGCAGGTCTAAAATATTTTTTTATTTTTCTGTTTGGAGCATTGAAAATGGGAAAAAGAATCATTATATGAAGCAAATTTAAGACTTTTGTTTACAGCAATGTGGCCAACGAGACATTCTGAAAATACATCCACTGATATACCTCTAATGTATTATTTTAAAACTGGAACATTTTGTTTTGACATAATTGTAGATTCACATGAAATTGTAACTTCACAGAGATTCTATATACCCTTAATGCAGTTTCTCACAATTATAAGATCTTAAAAATATATGTCACAATATCATAACCAGAATACTGACGTCATCTAATGGTTTATATGGTATATAATGTGCAGGAGTTTTTCAAGTAGGAGAATTAGGAAATATTATATCTCTGCTATCTTCCTGAAAGCAGAAGTCTATGTTTTTTTGGTGTTTTTTCTGTTTTTGTTATTTTAAGGCTGCAAAACTACTCTCTCTGACACTATAGTATTCTACTGTATAGATATGCTATATAATGTGTACTACAGTATGTGATATTTTCCAAAGATGATGTCCGTTCTCATCTTTTTAAAAAATATTTTATTGATTGATTTGAGAGAGAGGAAGAGAGAGAGGAATACTGACCTGCTGTTCCACTTATTTATACATTCATTGGTTGGTTCTTGTATGAGCTCTGACCGGGGACTGAACCCACAACCTTGGTGTACTGGGACAATGCTCTAACCAACTGAGTTACGCGGGTAGGGTGTGTATGTTCATTTTTAAATGAAAACTTTTAATTATATAACTGGAATCATAAAAAAGGAAAATCCTCAAAGGCTTCCCCACATTCACAGCCTGAATTCAGCTATGGAAGTGGAGTCCTAAAGCTGGCTTCTTCCTGGGGCATTACCAATCTGCAGGTCACAAAACCCTGTTTTAATGGCCTGGTGGGTGAACTGCATATACAGAATTCTTTAATTATCAGGGGCAAAGGAAGGCATTTTTCAAACAGAAAATGAGAACTTAACTATGAAAGACTATTTGACCTCTGATTACCCTTCACCAGCCTACATATTATGTAGTCTTGTATCTTCTCATTTAGTATTCATTTGGGTCTGGACCTTAACATTTTAAAGTAACCCCTTTCTATAAATAGGGTAAGGATGTATAACTTCTGAACCACGGGAAACAATGTGATAACAGCAAAACCGGTGCAATAAACTCAAAAGAAGGGAGGAAAGGAGGCACAAAGAACCAGAAAAAGTGGAACAAAGAGAATAAAAGAAGACGGAAGAAACAAATGCAAAACACAAACTTGAACCACTAATGCCCAAGACTAATTTAACCACTAAAAGCCAGAGATGATCAGACTGAGTTAAAAAATATAACTGAAATTGGCATTTTAAATCCACTAGTCTGTCAACAGGTTAAGAGTTTGACAATATCAAGTACTGGAGAAGATGTCAGGTAGCCAGAACAGTTAAACACTACTGGTGGAAATAACAGAAAAGGGAATGGATATTAAACTATGGGTGTGAGTACTATGCAGTGCTGTACAGAGGTGGAAATAAATGGACCTGAGCACAATCATCAATACAGTGAAACCCACAAATACATCAGCGTTAGGAACGTCAGAGACAAATATACACTGAAGTATACCATTCATATAAAGTTTTAAAAATCA